AACAACCAGTAAGGTAGATTTCAGTTCATACTCATCTTGACTGAATTAACATCTACTATTATTTTTCTAGCTCAGTCTAGAGAAAAAGTTGGTCTGAAAACAGAAACTGAATTCACCCAACTCTAGATAAAATATGAATTCAGATTATTAGACATGATTGAAAATAAACTCTGTTGGCCAAGTCATGCATTTTGTTCCAAATAAAGAACCCTCCTTTCAAGCATTATGGAATTAAATGACTTTTTTCTTCAGCCACAAGGAAGTGATATGAACAAGGGGGATATTATTTTATGTAATGGAAGCCACAGTACCTAGCACAAATGTCTGATGTAGAGAATGTTCAATAAATATTGTTAGCATAATGTTTGATATGCAGAGAGTGCTCCATTCTAATTTTTTCTGTTTTTCTTCATACCTATTAGGTTCTAGAGCCATTATCAACATAAGATATGTGGTATCTTATGCTAGGATTTAAAACTCAGGACCACTATAAAACTTAACATATCATCATCACATTTGGGGCTATTTAAAGTTTCAAAAAGATAAAGAAAAAAAAGAATAAAATAAAAAACTTACAGAGCAGCTCTGCTTTCTATGCTATATCACATATTAAGCCTGTTTAATTTAATAACATGTTGACTGATGTAAACACTGGAAAAAAGCGATTCTTTGCCTAACTACTGTAATAGCCTCTTTCTGCCTCACCTAAGGTTCCAAATATGCTATTTAAAAGGAAATATGGACTTGTCCCTATTACAAACTATTATCAAGTTAAGAAAAATGTAATCATCACAATGCATTATTTAAGTATAAAAGCTCAGAATTGAAATCTTTGTCATTGAGTGGCATATTTTAAATGAAGAGTAATATCCCAGATCTCTTTAGAAAGCCTAATGCTCAAAAATAATTTTATCTAACTATGAACAATGAGAAAAAGCATTATAAAATACATTTTGAGTATGCTATGAAGAATATGAACACAATGCAGAATTAAATTTAGAGCAATTAAGAGTAGATTTTGAAGATATTTTCTTGCATGCTTTCATACAGTTATCATTTCAGTTTGCAGTTTTAAATTGCAAAAGAAGCTATCTTCACTTACTTCTTTGACGGGTATTATTAAATAAGTATGCATTATCTAGCAGTCTATTTGGTTATACAAAAATTGAGGAGTACTGAAAGTAAACACAAATAGTGGCTTTAATGATATATCTGTACTGAAACGTACTTGATCGTGAGTGTTGTAACGTGCAAAATTCTGAGGTTTGAGTACAACAGAAACTGTATTGTGTTGAGACATTCCACATACAGTTTGTGGTCATGAAGTCTGATTAAAAGTGGTTTTAGAGATATGAAAGTAGTCTGGATTAGTGCCTTCTATATTGAATGTGTTCTGTAGCCTATTTTACTAAATAAAATACCAATATGCAGGTATAGTTTCATATCAAAATTGCATCTAAAAGAAATATTAAAAGACATTTAGTACAGCTCTTTGTAATTAATGATTATGTTTCTTTATTCATTCCAAAAAGACAGTTTTCAGCCCATCCTTAATATCAATTATGACTCATCTGAATAAAACAGAATAAAAATTTCTAAAGTAATATAATCAGATATGAAAATAAAACACTAGGTATGTTTTATCATAAGTACTTTAGAAAGATAATCAATAAAGATGAAACAGAAGGTAAGACACTGACAGTTACAACAAAGAAGCATTATCCAAGTTGAAATGTTAGTAACGTAACTGCGTAAATATTGACTAGCTGATATGGGCTAGTAAATACCTTATTTTCCAAAGGATGATCACTTCAGCTTTATCTTTCGATAGCTCAGCTTTATCTTTCTATCAATCATAATAACATCCTCAGCCATAATTGGTAGACTCTTCAAATCACCAAGACAAGCATATTTTGCTAGTTCTTTTTCTGTTAACTAAGAAGGTTGTGGGAAGTAATATTTATTGAGTACCTACTCTAAGCATTATACTCGATACGGTACATACATTATTGGATACAAGCTCACCACAGCCCTAAGACTAGGTATAAATCTCTGTTTTACAGATGTGAAAAATCAAACTCAACTTTATTAAGTGAGGCCAGGCGGGGTGGCTCATGCCTGTAATTCCTAGCACTTTGAAAGGCTTAAAGTGGGAGGTTTTCTTGAGCTCAGAAGTTTGAGACCAGCCTGGGCAGATTAGGGAAACCTGATTTCTACTAAAAATTTTTTAAAAACAGAGAGATAAAGCCAGACATGTCGGTGCATGCCTGTAGTTCCAGCTACTCAGGAGGCTGAGGCAGGAGGATCATTTGAACCTGGGAAGCGGATGCTGCAATAAGCTATAGCAGTGCTACTACACTCCAGCCTGGGTGATGAGGAGACCTTGTCTCAAAAAAAAAAAAAAAAAAGAAGAAGAAGAAGAAGAAATTAAGTGAATTTTGCAAGACTAACAAATTCAGCATTCAGATTTAGGGTTCTTTGAATACAAACCCTGTGTTCTTTGCTTTCTACCATGCTATCTTCAATGCCAATGTGATAAAACAATATAATTATTATTAAGTAAAGAATAGACGTGTTGTTAAAAAGTTTTGTGTATGAGTTGTTACAAAATTTTCTTGGGAAAATTTACCACCTATATAACATACATCAACTTGCATGTTTCTAAAGACTTCATAGTAGTTTCCCCATCAGGTGTTTAGACCACAGAGTTTTACCGTATGCCGTACATCTCTACTGGTCTAGGCAATGGAGATACAGGAGTGAGCAAAATAAAGACGGCATATGCCCCTGTGGGACATGCCCTGTAGTGGAAGAGAGGTTAAACAGATCTCACAGAAAAATATACGCAGTTTTGTATATTTTTTATTTGGTATATTTTGAATATTTTTGTGTTTATTTTGCATGTTTGAAAATATAAAATGTGATTAATAACATTTAGGAAAAATAAAAGGTAATAAGTAAAACAATAATTAACAAAATGTGGAGGAATGAGAAGGCTGGGAGGTCAGGCTTTCTGTCTGCTAGCCCACAGTCTCTGCCAACATAAATCTATTTACGCGTGGGGGAGGATGGAGAGTGGGAGAAGGCAGGGGTACATTCTCTCTGAGGTTTCCAGTTTGGATAACTGAGTTTACAGTGAGATAGGGATTCCGAAAGGGGCAACAGATTCTAGACTGGAGATAATGAGGTTGAGCTCTGGAGGGGTTGAGATACCAGGATGTTTAGACAGGTGTGTAACTAGAGGACATACACTGGGGTGTCTGGAGACAAAGAGAAATCTGAAGGGTAGGAATATGCAATTAGGAATTACACGCAAATCCGTGGTAGATAAAATGAGCTGACCTCTACAAGGTGGGTTGAATTTGAAGGTAAGAAAAAAGCTTAAATGGTTCCTTCTGAAAACAATAGCTTAATTAAGTAAATTAGCTTTTCCCAGAATATGTGCCTCAAAAACCTAGTTCTGAAGAGTGATAAGAAGTACTCCTCAAAATAAAAAAACATGCAAAGAAACAAACGATCTGTCAGCAATAGGTTTCAAAAGCAGGTTGAACAAAGTTTAAAACGTTTATAGCCTTTAATATACCAATGTCCCTTATTTTCCAAACCTATTGGGTCATTGAACTTTTAAGGAGTATTTTATAGGATCAGTACTCTACAGAATACCTGCTGGGGAACACTGGACCATATAAAGGTTTATAATTAAGAATGCTCATGCCTTTTCAGCCAGACCAGAGCGACAAGCTGTAGTTTAATTAAAAGAGGGCTGAAATTGGGAAGAGTGAGATATATTTTTGTATTTGGTAGGATTGGCAGGTAGGAAGTTTTCAAAGCTAGGGAGAGGGAGCTGTTGTAGACAGCTCATCAGGAGAAAAGACAGCAAGAAGAGTGAGGCTTTGCAGTTTGAGATGAATTGAGGAAGGAATGATTCCAGGCAGGGAGATCATCTAGGACAGGAAGCTGCTAGGCTGTCTAAAATTGAAGTGATAAGGACACGAGAGATAGAGTCGCCTGGGAAATAAGTGTGAACCTAAGAAATATTTTGAGAAAGAAATTATGGATCTTGGTAATATATTAGATTAAAAGGAAAAAAAAAGGTGGCATTGGCAATACAGTTTCTGGCCTGAGAGAAGAAAGATAGGCAGAAAAATGAAACCAAAACCCTAAGAGTATTATGGCTAAGGACTTCCCAATGCCCTATTGGGTTTCTAGGGTGTTGAACAATGAGAACACATGGACACAGGGAGGGGGACATCACACACTGAGGTCTGTGGCTGGGAACAAGGGGAGGGACAGCGAAGGGTGGGGAGTTGGGGAGGGATAACACGGGGAGAAATGCCAGATACAGGTGATGGGGAGGAAGGCAGCAAACCACATTGCCATGTATGTACCTATGCAACAATCTTGCATGTTCTTCACATGCACCCCAAAACCTAAAACTCAATTATATATATATATATATATATATATATATATATATATATTTTAAAAAAGGAAAAAAAAAGAATACAACATTGTCTGAGAGCACTGTCATATCCCTTCAAGTGTTTTCAATTAAATGACATGAGACTAAACAATTTTAAGACTTTTTTGAACACAGACCTAAAATTCTAAGTTCATAATGTCATATCCACTCTTCAAATAGTCAAAAACAAGCTCCAAACTAATTAGTAATTGTGGAAGATGTTAACCATGCTGAACTTAATTTTTTTTTTTTTAAATCTTAAACTTGCTCAAAGAAACATGACCAGTTCCCTGGTCACCTTCATTAAAATTCCCTTCATTAAATCTTGCATTTACAGTTTTACATTCAGCAACAAGCTAGAAATCACACATTTTCAAATGATAAGCAGAACTTAATTTTAGATTTATTTGTTTTCTTTCTAAATGTGTTAGTGCCTAAGGGCTCTGACAACTACACACCATTGTTTTGTGAAGGAAGAGAAAAAACCACACATGCATGAATACTTTTTTAAAAATCTCGGCTGCTTTCTGTTTTCCAGGTGACATTTACAAAGAGGAAATTTGGGCTGATGAAGAAGGCTTATGAGCTGAGCGTGCTGTGTGACTGTGAGATTGCACTGATCATCTTCAACAGCACCAACAAGCTGTTCCAGTATGCCAGCACCGATATGGACAAAGTGCTTCTCAAGTACACGGAGTACAATGAGCCGCATGAGAGCCGGACAAACTCAGACATCGTGGAGGTGAGAGAGCATACGTGGTGAGCCCCAGCCCTACACAAGCCGCGGGGTATTTAGACCTCCCCCGCCACACACACGTTCATAGTTCCAGGATTATTATCTATCTCAACTCTTACTCCACTTTTTCCCTTCCCCTCAAAAGTTAGAGTGATATGATGATAGAGACCATGTAGGATCTGGTCCTTGCCAGAAATCGAGTACCAGTGTCAAATGATTTGGCCCATCTTTTGCAAGTGATCATTGTCCACAGCTTCGTATCAAGACACCATGGTTAGCAACTCTGACCAGAGAATAGCTCATCCACATTTTAGACACTTCTTATCATTTCTTTTAGGTATGTAATAGTTTACCGGAATCTTCAAAAAAAAAAAAAGTATTAAAAAATGAACTCACCCCAGCCATACACTTTCAGTTTTTCCATTTATGTCTCTTCTTTCTAATTCATTACTCTGAATGCTTTCTTGCTGAAGGAGTAAAGGCAATTTTTCTCCTAGAAATGTTTTTTCCTAAAAATTATATCATTTTATATATCAGGGAAAACTGTTAATTTACACAGAATCAGAAATCAGATGAAAATGAATTTCTAAATGTTAGCTCAGTATTTAATCAATGTCATATTTAAAAAATTGTTTTATTGTGCCAAAAATAAATTAGCATGATGTTGAAAGTCAAAAATGTTTTGGATGCGTTAGCATAAGTAACATACCATACAGTTTTGGCTGAAACTTTTTAAACGTTTTCAGCATCTATCCTTTTAAATACTTGTAGTACCCTTCATGAGCAATGACTAAGACTACGAAACCAAGAAAAAAAGAGGTATAATAAGAATGGTTCCCATCTGCCTGTTTTCTTCATCTATTTGTCTACTCTGGCTTCCCTATATTGTGCCTGCTTTCTCAGAATGAAAAGAAAATGTTTCAAAAGTACATACTCAAGAGTCCGTTTGCCAGAGTACACGTCAATCATGCCATTCCTTAGACCGGTTCCATATTGTGAGAAAATGTAGTGCTAATCCTGATCAAATTAATGTGCCTCCCACATCCATCTCCCTTTTACCTGTTACAATTGTCTAAGACTAATTCTCATTTTTTTTTTGTTTTTATTTGAAAGTTTTTGAGAAGTATTGAGCTGATTATTTTATTTTATTTTTGCCTAACAAGGCCAAGGAAATAATTTCAGAGAAACAAAAGTGAATGATAAATAGACCTAGTGTGATATGTGGTTAAAATACTATGCATCATTTTAGTTTTTCATTGATAATTTGAATTGTGTGCTTGCCTTGATCTTAAAATTTAAGATCACTGATACAATTTACCTATGTATTTCAGATAGGTTTTTTATTCACATATACATATAAGTGTGAAAGTACAAAAATATGAAGGCAAACAGAACTAGTTAGTTGTCAGATCTCATTGGTGTGTGTGTGTGTATGTATGTACTAATACATATATAAAATAAATTCAAAAAACAAAACAACTGTTTACTCAAAACACCATCTCATTACAAAAACCATTATAACAAAAGTCAGGGTAACAAGAATTTGAGTTGCAATTTATCATTAGATTAGAGCTGTTCTAGACCTTAATGTCATGTGAAATGCAGTAGAACCATAATGAGCCAATTGAAAATATGTTGACTTCTAAAATTTGCTTTCTTAAAGGAATTTAAAACCTAGAAAATTCATCTTCTGGGACTTTTTCTTAGGAATACACTATATCACTTGAAGGCAACTTAAAACTTCATATGTTGGCTGGGTGTGCTGTCTCATGCCTATAATGCGAACAGTTTGTGAGACCTCGGTAGGTGGATTGCCTGAGCTCAGGAGTTTGAGACCAGCCTGCGTAACATGGCAAAACTCTGTCTCTGCAAAAAATACAAAAATTAGCCAGGCGCAGTGGTGTGCACATGTGGTCCCAGCTACTTGGGGGACTGAGGCGGGAAGATGGCTTGAGCCTAGGAAGTCAAGGCTGCAGTGAGCCTTGATTGTGCCTCTGCACTCCAGTCTGAGTGACAGAGCGAGACCCTGTCTCTTTAATAACAACAACAAAAAGAAAACCCACTTCATGTATTGTATGAGAACTTTATATTTTTTGACAGGTAGATATTTGAAAATCAGACTTCTTTAAAAGCCACAGAAAGAGCCCCGCGTTAAGACTTATTGGTTTTGTTTTGAATCCTTGTCTTGCACTTTTGTACTGTGTGGTGAATTGAGTACCTCTCTGGGCTGAAGTTTTCTCATCTCAAAAATGAAGGCATTGAATTTCATAGTGCTTTGCAAGAGTATAATTTTTTTTAAAAGTGGTGCTTGTAAAACAAGAGTAAAGCACCGGCTCCATTTTCTTAACATCAATAGTTAAATCTCTGAACCTCTCCAAAAGAAACTTCGAGGCTCTTGGGCCAAATCTAGAGATTCAATGGCTCTATTATTTGGATGAACTTAACTTGGAAGTCTAACACATTGTGGGTCCCTCCTGTTCAACTCCCTGAATCACTCATTCTTCACATATTTGGCTTTTCCACATTTTAGTAATAACAGAGATCATGGAAAAAGAAGTAAGGTGGGACCGCTAAGTTTGATAAAATTGACATTACCTTTGCATGGAGTATTTTTCAAAGTGCTGATCACTGAAATTAGGATACTTAGTGGAGAAGAGGGCATCTGGATTGGAAGTTGCATTTATAAAAAGTTCCCCAAGTGATTCTTAGACACACTAAATTTGAAAACCTCTGCAGCACTAGTACATAAATTGTGTTGGAGGCCAAGGACCTGTGATACATCGGGGACTTGAATTCATTCTTTGAATGAATCTAACATAAAGTTGAAAGTTAAGATCGTTTACTACTCCTGGGTAAAATTTTAAATCCTATTTTTTTTAATTTAATGGAATACATTTAACTGAGTAAGTTTAATGAGGAGCATAATATATTTCACGAAGGGTCATTAGTTTTATATTTCCCATTTGGACCATTACCCCTCTCCCTTAACCTTCTGAAAACAGTTTACTCACAAGAAGAAAAGGTATGGGGAGAGAGAGAAATAATATAATTTCCAACATTTGAACTGAAATACAAATTTCTGGGCCATACCAGAGTATTGCTACAGGGTCATAGGAAATTGTGCAGTGTGTGGGTGTTGAACAAGATTCCTTCTTTTAGCTAAAAAGCTCTGCATAATTATCATGTCTTTGCTTGATAATTAGCACTACTGCAACAATGGCACAAAGACTCACAAAGCCTTAACAGACAGACTGAGATCTTTTTTTTATTATTATTATATTATAATGCAGCTTGAATATCTGTTTAGATACAATATATAAATATGCCAGATTTAGTAAATGTGTTAAATTTTTAATCTATTGGTTAAAAAAACAAAAACAGTTATTGTATTAAAAGCACTTCCTTTGAAGAAAGTCCATTTTACTTAACTCTGTAACAGGCATACTGGGACATTTACCCAAAATGCTGGCTTCTGAGACTGTTGAAATTCAGCTGGGAATCTGGTAGCATTAAGGAACTGCCCCCTTCATTGCTTCTTCGCTAGTTCCACTCCTCGCTCTCTTAGCTGTCTAAGAGAGCAAACCCTACCGGTTTATGTAGGGCCCTATTCCTGGAAGAAGATGTGGTTATTGAGTACTTCAGGATGATCTGAAGATGCAGATCCCATAGGACATGCTTACAGGCTATTGCTTCACTTAGCAATGATTTAGCAAGCTCCACTCTTGCTCAGCACTGTGAAAGAGACTCTGAAACAGCAGGAGACAGGTATTCTTGTTAAGGATGTAAAACATATATGCAAAAATCAGCTTGGAAGAAATTGGACGGCAAAGGAACAATAACCTCATTAATGCAGTATAAGCTGCTGAAATGAAAGCATAGGCTAGACAATTCAACAGAACTCATTCAGCCAGGTCAGGTGTTTTGCCAGAGCATTCCAGGTGATCCTTGGAGTGACAGGACTCTCCCAGATAGGTTACCTCCATATCCAGCACATGTTTTGAAACCACAAAACCCATATGGGAGTATCACTTAGCACCCAGCCAGGAAGGAATCTCTCATCCCCTCAGTGAACTCAGTGATTCTAATGAGCTACTCATTCAGTCTGGGCCCACATTCCAGTGATTAAGTGTGGAAGGGGAATAAAACACAAGACCCTTTGCTGCTCTCTAGGAAATTCAGAGCTGGATGTAGCTCCCGCAGAAGAAAACTTTGATTCACAGCTCTCTCAATAGAGGATGATTGACTTTTCTTTTTAGAGACAAGAATGTGTGTGTGTGTGAAAGAGAGAGAGAGAGACAAAAAGGTAGGGGGAGACACAGAGAAGATGAGAGATGAGAGAGAGAGGGGATATTTATCTGAAATTTTACTTATTTTAAATCATATTTGCTGTCACCTGAATCCTGACTTCTGTTTTTACTTAGAAACAGTTGCTGCAGCAAAATGTTTTCTGCACAGTAATAATTAAAGCCTAAATTGGGATGGGAATAACCTTAAAATAGTTTATAACTTGTATAACTACACAATGCTGATGAAAGTTATCAACAAGCTAAGTGCCCTTACATAGTTTGGTGAAAATTACTGAGTACAATTTTTGTTGAAAAGCAAATGCAGCAAATAGCAGAACTAAACATCCTTACAAGCTCAGTATCACAAAATTTGGAAATGGATGTAAATGTGAAAATATGTCTACTTTACTTGAGCATTCATTATATCTAATTAGCTTCTAATTTTATACTTATAAAAATATAGATGTAAAGCTGCTATAGCCAGACTGCCTCTCTAAATTCCTCCTCTCTGGGCAGGACATTTCTGAGAGAAAGGCAGCAGCCCAGTCAGGGGCTTATAGATAATACTCCCATCTCCCTGGGACAGAGCACCTGGGGGAAGGGGCAGCTGTGGGCGCAGCTTCAGCAGACTTAAACGTTCCTGCTTCCTGGCTCTGAAGAGAGCAGCGGATCTCGCAGCACAGTGCTCGAGCTCTGCTAAGGGACAGACTGCCTCTTCAA